ACTCCTCCGATGCATGTCGAAACCTGGCGCTGAGTTCTTCGACCTCGACCGGGATTAATGCCTCGGAACCATATACTAAAGAGAACGGAGTAGCCCCTGTGATGGATTTCAATGTTGTTCGATATGCCCAAAGGACCTCGGGTAGAACTTCTCTCCATTTTCCTTTTGCATCGTCCAACCTTTTCTTTAGGTTTTGAATGATGGTTTTGTTTGTTAACTCGGCCTGTCCGTTCCCAGTTGGGTGGTACGGTGTTGATAAGATTCTCTTTATTTTATGTGCTTCGAGGAACTCTATTACCTTGCTGCCTATGAATTGCTTGCCGTTATCGCATACGATTTCGGCAGGTATCCCAAATCAACACACGATATGGTCCCAAATGAAGTCAATAACTTTTTTTTCTCTGACCTTCTCGAAGGCCTGTGCTTCCACCCATTTGGAAAAGTAGTCAGTCATAAACAAAATGAACTTAGCTTTACCTGGGGCCATTGGTTGGGGGCCGACGATATCCATTCCCCATTTCATGAAATGCCATGGGGACAGAACTAAGTGAACTTGCTTTCCGGGCTGATGAATCATTGATGCGAACCTTTGGCATTTATCACACTTTTTAACAAACTCCTTAATGTATTTTTTCATGCTATCCCAGTAATACCCCGCTTTGATAATTTTGTGAATCAAAGACTCGACGTCGGAGTGATTCACACAAGTAACTTCTTGGATTCGTAGGACATAATCGGTATCCCCCGGCCCTAAACATACATCCAATGGTCCATCGAACGTTCTTCTGTATAATTTTCCATCTTTGTCCAGTATGAACCTAACAGCCTTGGTTCGTAGATCCCTCGATTCTTTATGATCCGTTGGGAGCTTTCCGTTTTTCAAATAATCGATATATTTATTTCTCCAATACCAAGTCAAGATCGTAGAGTTTATTTTGGCATGACCCTCTTCGACCACGGATCTCGATAACAGGACGACAGTCCCCGGGACAATGTCGTCTTCTTCGACCGATGACCCCAGATTTGCGAGTGCGTCGGCCTCTCTATTTTTCTCTCAAGGCACGTGATCCAGGGTCTATTCCTTGAAGCAGTGCAATGTCACTTGTAATTTGTCCAAGTACCTCTACATTCCATCCTCTCGAACCTCGAAGCTTTTGTTTACTTGGTTCACCACCAATAGAGAGTCGCATTTGGCTTCGATGACCTCTGCCCCCAAGCTCTTAGCTAGCTCGAGACCTGCAATCATAGCCTCATACTCGACTTGATTGTTAGTTAATCTAGAAGTTTTGATAGATTGTCTAATAGTACTTCCTGCGGGTGGCTTCAAAATAATGCCGAGCCCGACCCTTTCACATTCGAGGCACCGTCCGTAAAAAGGTTCCATACTCCCAATGATGTACCCGAGCAGAAGTTCTTTCTCCACTTCAGGTATGAGAGTCGGCATAAAATCGGCCACGAAGTTAGCCAATATTTGGGACTTGAAAGTTGTTCGGGCTTGATATTCGATATCATACCCGCTAAGTTCGACTGCCCACTTGGCCAATCAGCCTGATAATTCGGGCTTATGCAAAACATTTCGGAGAGGATAAGTGGTTAATACACATATATGATGACATTGAAAATATGGCTTTAACTTCCTAGATGCGCTTATTAATGCACGTGCTAATTTTTCTAAGTGAGGGTATCTAGTTTCAGCATCTCCCAGAGTTCAACTTATATAATAAACAGGGAATTGCGTACCTTGCTCTTCTAGAACTAGTACTCCACTTACAACTATCTCGAATACCGCCAAATATAAATAAAGCTTTTCATCTACCTTCGGGGTGTGAAGCAAAGGTAGGCTCAATAAGTATCGCTTTAATTCTTCTAAGGTTTGCTGGCATTCCGGGGTCTATGCAAAATCCTTTTTCTTTTTGAGCAAGGAAAAGAACTTATGAATTCGATCTAATGATCTTGAAATTAATCGACCCAAGGCAGCATTCATCCTGTTAGCCTTTGCACGGCTTTCACACTATCCACGATGGTGATATCTTCGATGGCCTTGATCTTATCGGGGTTGATATTGATTCCCCGATTAGATACCATGAAGCCGAGGAACTTGCCCGAGCTGACTCCAAAGGCACATTTTTCCAGGTTAAGCTTTATGTTATATTTCCTCAAGATTTTGAATGTTTCTTGCAATTGAGTTAAATGGTCCTCTGCGCTTAGGGACTTAAACAATATATTGTCAATGTAAACTTCCATCGATTTACCTATCTGTTCCTCGAACATCTCGTTAACTAGGCGTTGATATGTAGCTCCAGCATTTTTTAGCCCGAAGGGTATTACATTGTAACAGTATGTTCCAAACTTAGTGATAAACGAGGTCTTCTCCCAGTCCTCCGGGTTCATCTGAATTCGATTATACCCGGAGTAGGCGTTGAGAAAGGTTAGGATCTCGTGGCCGGCCGTGGCATCGATTATGCGATTGATTTTAGGCAATGGAAAGGAGTCCTTAAGGCATGCCTTGTATAAACTTTTATAATCTCGCACATTCTAAGTTTGTTTCCCTTTTTAGGAACTACGACTATTTTGGCTAACCACTCGGGGTATTTTACTTCTCGAATAGATCATATTTTAAGAAGTTTGGTTACCTCATCCTTTATTAATGCATGTTTTACCTTGGACAGGGGCCTTCTCTTTTGCTTCACCGGTTTGAACCTGGGGTCGATGCTTAGCCAGTGTGTTGTTATTTCTGGTGAGATCCCTATCATATCTAGATGGGACCAAGCAGAACAATTCATATTATCGATAAGAAATTGAATGAATTTTTTCCTGAGTTCGGGGGTTAACCCCGTTCCCAGGTATACCTTTTTCTCGGGCATGTGCTCAATCAATATGACCTGTTCCATTTCCTCGACCGTTGATTTGGTTGCATCTGACTCTTCGGGAATAATGAAGGTTCGAGGAGTAAGGAAATCCTCTTCTTCCTCTTCGATTACCTGTTCCTCTGGCTCGATCGGGACTAGGATCGGTGATTGCTATTTGGTCACTTGCTTATCTTTGGCCCCTGATTTTTCCGAGGTCGAAGGCGTTCGTATTGGTGTCATTTCATCGACTGCAAACATTTCCTTTGCGACATGTTGTTCCCCATAGACCGTTTTCACACCATCCACTGTTGGGAATTACATCATCTGGTGAAGGGTTGAAGGTACTGCCCTCATGTTGTGGATCCATGGCCTCCCGAGAAGTGCATTGTACCTCATTTTGCCTTCGATGACATGGGATTTCGTATCTTGAATGGTTCCGACCACATTCACTGGCAAGATGATCTCCCCCTTCATTATTTTGCTTGCCATGTTGAAACCATTTAGGACTCGGGATGTTGGTACAATTTGGTCTTGCAGACCGAGCTGCTCTACGAATTTTGATCTGATTATGTTTGCTGAGCTACCTGGATCCATTAGAACACGTTTAACTTGAAATTTATTTAACAAAATAGAAATTACCAGGGCGTCACTATGCGGCTAAAATATGCCTTCCGCTTCCTCATCATTGAATGATAGGACATCCTCGAGCAAGTAGCTCCAAGTCCCTTTCTCTCTGGTGATCGACACCTTAGTGCATTTGTATATATGCCCTTGTGGAACATTGACGCCGCCAACGATCATATGAATTACGTGTTGCGGTTCTTCCTGCTCATTTTTTCTGTTTGCATCTCTTTCCCTGAAGTGGTTCTTAACTCAATCACTGAGAAATTCTCGAAGATGAACCTCGTTGAACAATCGAGCTACTTCTTCCTTCAGCTTCCTGCAGTCTTCAGTCCTATGACCATGTGTGCCATGATACTTACACATCAGATTCCTTTGAGAAGGATCAGTTTGTACAGGCCTGGGCCACTTGGTGTCCTTGATTCTTCCAATAGCCGATACGATCCCCGATGCATCTACACTGAAATTATACTTTGGCAATCGGGGTGCGTCCATGGGATCGGTATCTTTATCAAATCCGTTCTTACTCATGAGTCCCCGATAGCTTTGACCTCGATCATTTCTTCGATCGTTCCGAGGAGCGTTGTTCCCCGAACCACTATTTCTCTGATTGACATACGGCTGATACCGTTCTTTGTTTGATCTTGATTCCCTATCCGTATCCCTCGAGAGTTTAGCTGCCAATCTATTAGGATGAACTGAACCCGAGAGGGCTCCCAACTGGTCATCCTCGACCCTGATCTTCGATTGGTAACGATTATGTACGTCCGGCCACGTCACAGCTAGATACTCGATCATGTTCTGCTTCAATTGTCGAGATACAATCAAACTCCGCTCATTCAGACCCTGCATAAAAGCTTGTACTACCTAATCGTCCGAGACTGGTGGTAATTCCATTCACTCCATCTATAACTAGGATACGAACTCCCTTAGCATCTCATTGTTCCTCTGCCTTATCTTAAAAACGTCTGATTTCCTCGTTGCCACCTTTATGGCCCCAGCGTGTGCTTTTACGAAAGCGTCTGCTAACATAGCGAACGAATCGATAGAGTTCGGGGGTAAATTATGATACCAAATCACGGCTCCTTTAGACAAGGTTTCTGCAAACTTTTTCAACAAAACTGATTCTATCTCATCATCATTCAAGTCGTTTCCTTTAATCCCGCAAGTATGCAAAGTAATATGTTCGTTGGGATCGGTTGTTCCGCTATATTTTGGTATATCGGGCATACAAAACTTCTCAAATAAAACTTTTTGGCATAAACCTTTCAAGACCGGGGGTGCCCCTGGTATTTTATCAACACGGGAGTTATAAGTCTCCACATTTTTTCCATTATCCTCAATCTTCTTTTCCCCGGACTCGATCCTCTTGGTGAGTTCCTCGAGCATCCTCATAATTGTGGGGTCAATCCCCGAGCCGTTCTCGTTTGATCTTTTTGGCACCGGCTCAGTACGTCGAGTGTTTCCTGGTTCGATTATGCTTGGAGTTTTATTCTGACTTTGAAGTTGAGCGATGGCAATCTGTTGAGCTTATAGCATCTCGAATATCACTTGTAGGCCGATTCCTCCATCTCCTACACCATTTGTTCTTTGGCCACCAGATATGACTTCCCTGCGTACACTTGCTCCGGGATCTGTGCCTAGATCTGCATTCAAAGCAATATGTGAACTAACACCCACTGGTTCCACATTACACACTTCCCAGGGTTTATCGATGGTACATCGACTCCAAGACCGTCATCGCTGTGTACATGCGCATTCTGTGAGTTTGAAATATATTATCCTGAAATCAAAGAATCTTTGACAAGAACAAGTGTGAAAAATAACATGTGTTACCAGAATCAGTCCTGAAATAAACACTATTATCTTTATCCTCACGGTGGGCGCCAAACTATTTACCTAAAAAATACGAGTAACAATTAAATTTGATTTGTGATTTTAAAGATATGTGATTTAATTCAATACTAATTAATAATCAAGAAATATAGCGTATAAATGAAATAAATAAGTAAATCAAACCAGTGTTTCTAGGCAGTATCGACCTCGAGCCAGAGGGACCTCGAGATGGACCAAGAACAATAATGCAAGAATAATAAAGCTAAAGACAATTCTGATGAACAATGGGCGAAAAAGTAAGAGAGTATATTCTTTGCCAATGATTAGATGATCTTTACAAATGATTAGGGATCCCGTTTATATAGGAGAAAAACTCTAAATAAGGTACATTTCTATTTACAGTAAGGAATCTTATTGGGACAAATGTATAACCACTTAGTACGAATTCGTACTAATTCATACAAATCTATTCCAAAATTTACGCCATGATCTTAAGGACGTGGCAGGAATCTTGTCCTTCTATAACAAACTCATAACGATACTGTCTCGGAGTCGGTTGTACTAAGCTCCGATGTTCCTCGAACACTTAGGTCTTCGAACCACTTATTCTACTTTTGAGCCCGGACTTGGTCTATATCGAACTTTTATCCTTGATGCGACCTCTCGAACCTACAAAATAGCAGACATATGATTTTGACTGTATACAGTGATGTTGTTATACAACATTCTTACTAAAGGGTTAAAACTTTTAAATAATGGAGTACTAGTATAACAAACTACAAAGGAAAGAAGCATGTTTTATTGTGTTTCATTCATCGTTTGTGAATGGTTGAATGTTAAAATAGGAGGGAAAGTCTAGAGTTCACTTTTTAAGAAAAATAAATTAAGGTTACTTCATAGTTTCATACCCACTATATATATATGTATGTGGCAGTGCTTTGAACTTGAACTATATTCTTACGCACGCAGACACGTGTAAACACAAAAAAAAAAGATACTAATATTGTAGAATACAAGTTCAAATTTTCTATTTACTATACTAAATATCTTAATTTTATCATATGTCGTACTTTGGGCCATCTTCGCCTTCAAATAGGGATTGAGAGGCTTTCCCCTACCCAACCTGAATTCTAAGGGTAATCGATGTGCACCATAGGGTTTAGAGCAATGTCTTGCCATTAGCAAATCGTCTCGTTTTTTCTTTGATTTTAATGAAACTCAAGCATTAATTAGGAATGGTGAACCCCATGTGCCAAAGTACTTACAGTAATAAAAAAGATTCAATCTTACGTGCTCACTTTTGACCATAATTTAAAATTACTCTTCGTTATATTTCAATTGAAGCTTTGTTAGAGTTAAGGACAATACATACTGGTAAAGGCAAAGTTACAAATAGCTTAAAGCATAAAGAAGTGTAATTAAATATTTTGTATAGTAAGGAGGTAATTTGGGCATTTTCTTCCAAAGATACGTCAAAAAATTTGACTCGCTACTTTAAATCTTGAACTATCTTTAAGAAGTATGATTTCCACTAACGTATAATTTCATTTAAGAAAATGAGAAAATAACGTGTATTTCATCATTTTGTATAGGTCAAAATCTGATTAAAAGAATTCTACTTAAAGAAGAACGATCAAGAGTCAACCAAGCCGAAGGCATGTATAGGAGACAATATACTGGCGAATGATGCAGCTACGGCCGAGGTCGAGCACTCAGTTCGGCCCGAACGGCTAGTTCAACACTTACACATTTTAGAGGAATATTCTACAGGATATTCCAAGAACTTAGGTATTCCGGTTAAGAACAGTTGGGTAAGAAAAATGTTTTGTATAAATATCATGAGAGAGAAACAGAAAGGGGGCTAATGAGAACACACACAGATACATACATCTCTTTGAAGGAGAAGATGTTCCCTCCTCTCAGGCTCTTCGCCAAAAAAGGAGAAAAGAGTTTAGAATCTTGGTATTCAATTGCAATCTCAACTTTATCAAATGTATGTAGGTCTGTCTTGTTCAAGAATGGTGACTCTTTTCCTTTATGTATTTTTCGTTATTATTTGATATAATTGGAGCTATTATCCTTTTCTTACATTATGGAATTCAATTGCAACTGTAATCAAATTTCATATTCAGCAATGCTTATTTATTCCTGTCTTTTATTTTAAATCTAAAATAAATTATCTCTAGTTAGGATTTACCTCATATCTTCTTATTTAATTAGTTTAACTAAAAGGCTTAAAACTCTTTAGTCAAATACATTTAAAGAAACAAAAGAAGAACAACTTGATGGGGGAAGACGATTTTTTGGTATGAGCATTAATAAGAAGCAATACAACTGGAAAAGAGCTAGCGAACAGGTGGACATTTCACATTTGGCTGGGGCTTGAAATTTTCAAGAGTCACTCAATAAATTAAATATCTATGCCCTTTCACTTCACTATTCATATTAATAATTAACTAGTATTAGTATCCGCGCGATGCGCAGACACAAACCTGTAATTTGAGTTATTTGATTTATGTGCAAATAACTTTAAAATATTAATTTTTCAGATAAAAGTTATATATAATCATTAAATAAATGTTAAAAAACGCAAAAATTTCTCAAATCTCTTAAAATTACCCGTAATTTCTTGTCTGTATTGCATTACCCATAACTTAAAATTATCATATTCTTGTCCGTTACTTCCATTATAGTACATTATAAATAAAAATAGGTTTTTTTTCTTGTAGTAATTTTTTATTTACTTTTATTCTTTTATTCTATTGATCATATTAATGTTTAAAGTTATCATATTTTTTATAGTTTCTATATTCTTATCTTTATAATTAATTAAGATAGAGGCGTTGTTTTTATCTGTCAATTTATTTATTTTTAAATTTTATTAATTAAGATAGTGCAGGCACTATCTTTACAAAATATTCACCGTCTTTTCATTCAGATTAAAAAAAAATTAAATTTATATTAAGTATTAGTATTAATATTATCCTAAATTGCCAAGTGATTTTATAGTAGTTTGTTATTTGGCTTAACCACAATGCAAATTTTACTCGTTATTATTTAAAATACTTTTTTTTCTCAAAAATCAAATAAAGAGGTTTTACAGCAAATATTGCTTAAATTTGTTTAACAAGGGTTGTTTTCAGGAGGATTAAAGAAGTCAGGCTCAAGTTTTGTTCTACAAACAGGACAGACTGGATTTTTGGAAAGCCAAGTATCAGCACATTCTAAATGAAATCCATGGTTACAACCTGGAACAACAATAGCATATTGCTCGCTCTCTATTTCATCCAAATACACCGCTTTTGACTAAAAAGTACGAGACATTAAGTTAAACTAATTAAATAAGAAGATACAGGTTAAATCCTAGTTAATAATAATTAATTCTAGATCTGAGATGGATAACATGAATAGAAAAATATAGTTGATTATAAATGCTGACAGTAATTATGACCAGCTCTAATAGTATGAAACTATGCATTAAATAACATTAAATGGCAATAAATGTAAATAAAGAAGAAGATTCACCCAATCTTGAGTGAGGCGGATCCTCTTTCATTTGATAAAGATGAATGATAAACAAATACAAGAACCTTAGGACCCTTTTCGGATCTGATGGACAGTGTGGGATAACAGATAATCTAATCTCTTTAGAGAGATACGTTTGTATTTTTTCTAGAGAGAGAGAGTCTGCTTTTCCAGAAGTCCCCTCTTCCGGTCTTCTCTCGTACTCTTTATATGGAATATCCCAAGGAGCCCTAAACCGTACAATTAGAGAGAATATTCAGTAGAATATTCCCTTTGAAGATTCCGAAGCAAAACTAGTTGTTACTTCTATCTGTACTGCTCGACCTCGGCCTTGTTGTTGACCACTGCTCGACCTCGGCCTTGTTGTTGATCACTGCTCGACCTCGACCTTATTGATGATCACTGCTCGACCTCGGCCTTATTGATCACTGCTTGACCTCGGCCAGACAACTCAATTCGATTCGCAGGTTACTCATGACAATTGTCTCCGCATGTCGAATTTCTCTAATTTGATTTTGACCCGTACAACCGCACAATCATTGCTCATTACTAATTCTTTCCCTGTAATTTTTGGAAGTTTATCTAATCGAGCTGCGGACAGACCTTTTTCTTGGTTCGTCTTTGCAGGGTCATTTGTGTAATTTCCTGTACCGGCGTCGGAGGAGGACTGGTAGCTGGCGGCGTACCATAGCATACAGATGTAGACTAAGAAAACGGCACTCGTTCCTACACAGGGAAGAAACAGAGGGAGAAACACGAAACAAGCATTGTTGTTAATTGGAATATTTCGTACGACGAAGATTTATAGTATAGTTTTTTAAGGAGGGTGGCGGAGGTGGTGGCGTTGTTGGAGAAGAGAAAGAATTAAAGAATTGAGTAATTTGCACACCATGCTGCAGGGGAAATTTGATGGAGGAAAGATGAGGTATTTATATACAGGGAATAAGGCAGTGTTTGGGTGAATTGAAAAGTTGGTTTTATATTTATAGGAAAGTTTTGTTTTACATTGGTAAAAGAGCTTACACCTGGCCCAGGTGTGTTCAACGAAATAAATTCGAAACGGTTCGAATTGTCAGTTTTTGATTTTGTTTTATGCAACTTCGGCAGTACTCTTTAAAATTATTCTATACACGATTTGAAATAGACAATCTTCTACTTGTGATTCATGAAATTGATTTTGTAAACTTGATTATGCAAAACACGAAAAATTAAAAGAGAACAAATTAAACCAACAAGTTAATTAAGTTTCATTCTAAAACAAGAGTCTTGTTCTTTGCCGGAAAAGAAAAGCAAATAAAACATATCATGCATAATATTATTACATAAGTTACTTTCTGAACTATAGATCAAATCTCTATTACATATTTTTTACTCACAAAAATCGCATTACACACTCAATCTTTCCAAAGTGTATCTAATACACTATTTTGTGCGTATTTTCCCAACAAATGAGTTGCGTGAACAGAATAATTTTATTCCAGATGTCAATTTTTTTTAGTTTTTAAAATTTTTAAATTGAGTCATTCTTCCTTTTTGTAGCTCCGCCAAAAGCTTGCCTCAACCTTTTGCATAGAAGAATTTTTCTTTTTTGAAGAGAAGCTTAACTTGAGCTTTACCCACGGCGAAGTCGAATTTTCCGGAAGTAAAATTTTCCGAAATTTTTTCCAATCATTAAAGCTTAGCTCAAAATTTTGCACATTCTTTAATTTTATTAATGGATGAATTTTAGAATTGCTGAATTGTGGTGATGGCAATTAATGGTGGTCGAACTTTTACAGAAGAGAAATGGAAAATGAGTTGGATCTGGGCTCAAAATTTTTGTCGCGACCCCGATTTTCCACAGTCGGGACCGTGATGGCGCCCAACCTTTCAGTTGCTAGGCAAGCCAACAATTAGACATTAATACGCAAAACTCTTAATAATTCAGTAAATAACAACAATTAGACCATAACAGATTAAATGAGTGCAAAATTTTATAATAACCAAAGTAATTATACACAACTACCCAGAATCTGGTGTCATAATTCACGAACTTCTAAAAGTCACTACAAATAACTGGCTGAAGGAAAGTACAAGTGTTTTCGAGTTAAAAGAAACAGTAAATTGAAATAACTGGAAGGGAATTCCAGGGTCTGTGAACACCGACAGATAGAGATGGGTATCGGTCGGTTCGGTTGTGAATGTTATCGGTTTGGCATATCGGTTATCGGTTTATAAATATGTTAAACCGATAACCGAACCGATAAGAAATCGGTTATCGGGTATCGGTTTATCGGTTATCGATCCTTATTGGTTTGAGTATTGGTTTACCCGATAAGAATAAAACTATCCAAATTTTTTATGTTTTTATTATAGAAATCGTGATCATACTGTTAAGAGAAAGGAACTGAATTTTTGTTCAAAAGAAAAGATGGATTAAATTTCAACTTTAGAAAAGAACACTTTCTTTGCAATTGAAATCCCAATGAATGATCTCAATTTTCAAAGTTATAAGTTAGTAGGAGTAAGGAATAAGACATTCAACAATCTAATCGTATTAACTATCTTACTGCTGGCGGGCATAACTAATAGGAAAATGATAAATTCCTAATCTTGTAAATACTAAAGAATCAGCGCAACAAAAGAAAACAAATAAAAAAACTAAAAATCTAAACAATTAATTCTTAAAAGTATAGAACTACAAATATTAACGGAAGAATTAAGATGAGAAATTTAGAAAAGTTTAAAACTTACTCTAAAGAATAAGGTCTGAAGATGAAGAGTAACTGCCGAGAGAATTGAGAAAATGAAACCATAAGGTGGCTTTATATATTTAGTGGGTAAAATTATAATTTTGTTAAAGCTTATTGGGCTATTGGTTAAACCGTTAATAAAATTGGGCAAACTGAGACCCAAACCGATAACCCAATAGTCAAAAAACATTAAACTGTTATCGAACTATTTACCCAATAACCCGATATCCATAACCCAATAATATTTTATCGGTTCGTGCTATCGGTTATATCCGATATATTCTCAGCCCTACCGACAGATCTACATTGGGTCTCCTGTGGGATTGAAGTCAGCAGCTCAACTCGGGTCAACACGGTCCATTACCGAAATCTACACAGAAAGTGCAGAGTGCAGTATCAGTACAACCGACCCCATGTATTGGTAAGTGTCGAGTCTAACCTCGGCGAACTAATGACAAAGCTAGGACAAAACACCCCCAAACAAACCTGTGCAGTTTATCAATATATATATACCAATAACAACAACTAAAGAAACAAGGCAAGAAGTATTGGGATGGGGGCATGCTGAGGGGATTACAAGATAAAGAATTACAACGGAACTGAGAACATGAACAATCAATATACCTTGAATAGATAGAAACGGATAAACACAGTAAAGGAAAGTGCACGGTATCACCCTTCGTGCTTTTACTCTCAACCTCACCAGATGAAATAATAGAAACGTGCACGACATCACCCTTCGTGCTTTTATACTCAACCTCACCATAATGAATAATAGAAATGTGCACGGCGTCACCCTTCGTGCTTTATCACTCACTCACAGAAAATTCCATGACATCACCCTTCGTGCTTTAACACTCTCCCTCACCAAAACTATGAACAATGACAACGGGGAGATAGGAATATCAAGAACAAATCTTACTTCAACACTTAGTTCCACAATACCGACCTCAACTTTGAGTCAATACTCAATCAATACCAAATTCAGTAAAACATGATAATAAATAGCTCAAAACATCGAATAGCTAGTCTAATCATGAACAATGTGACCAAAGAATACAACATTTATAAGAATAAGACTCACTCACATGCTATGACTCGACAACAGTGCATAGTTACTCGTCACCTCACCTATACGTTGTACTCAATATACAAACACGTAGCAAATAGGCAAATAATACCTAATTCATCAAGCCAAGGTTAACCACGATAATTACCTAGGTCCAACGGCAAAACTCAAAGCTCAATCACCGCTTTTCCCTTCCCACAAGCCTCTGAACCAATAGAATCTAGCAAATTACCAACCAAACAATTCAATTTAAGCCTTAGGAACTACCCGCGATTGCAAGAAATTCAATTTAGGCCATTTTTTAAAAAGTCAACACCCAGGTCCGCTTGGTCCAAACCCAAAATTCGAATCAAAACCTGATTATCTATTCACCCTCGAGCTCGGATATATAATTGATTTTGGAATCCGACCTCAATTTCAGGTCTAAATCCCCAAATTTCGAAATCTCTAGTTTTTATCCAAAAATTCCCAATTCCACCATGAAAATCTTAGATTCTAGGTTGAAATCTTGTAAAATAAAGTTAAAGATTAAAAGAAACTAGTTTAGAATAACTTACCTATGATTTGGGGAAGAAATGGTCTTTAAAAAATCGCCTCTTGTGTTTTAGGTTTTGAAAATTTGAAGAATAAATGAAAAATCCCGTCTAAGTCCCTTTTACACAGCTGCAGATGTCGCATTTGCGTATGCGAAGCTCGCAAATGTGAAGGAACCATCGCAAATGCGAGGTCTTTCACACCTCTGCTGCTTTCGCAATTGCAAAGATAAGTTAGCAATTGCGAACTTGAATCTCCGCAAATGCGACTAAAAAATCGCATTTGCGATCACTGCCCCTCCCAACTTTACTTCGCAAATGCGAAGAATTCCTCACAATTGTGAGGACTTCCTGGCCTAGCTACTCCTTGAATTTGCGATGAGAAGCTCGCAAATGCGGAACCTGCAGAGTTCGCAATTGCGATGCCTGATCTCGCAAATGCGAGATCAGAGGCCTGCAACAAGATCAATTACACCAACAAATTTTTCCAAGTTCAAACCACTCCGTAGCCTATCCGAAACTCACCCGATCCCTCGGGGCTCCAAACCAAACATGCACACAAGTCTTAAAACATCATATTAACTTGCTCGCGCGATCAAATCACCAAAATAACACCTAAAAATACGAATTTAGCACCAAACCAAATGAAATTCTCAAGAGCACTTTGAAATTTCTATTTTCTCAACCGGATGTCCGAATCACGTCAAACCAACTCCGTTTCTCACCAACTTTCACAGACATGACTTAAATACTATATTAAAACTATACCGGGCTCTGAAACCAAAATACGGACCTGATACGACAAGATCAAACATTGATAGTTTCTATAAAACCATTAAATTTTCACACTTATAATTTTTAGCAAAAATTCATAACTCGGGATAGGGACTTCCGAATCTAATTCCGGGCATACGCCCAGGTCCCATATTTCGATACGGACTTACTGCTACTGTCAAAACATGAGTCCAAGTCCGTCTACTCAAAACGTTGACCGAAGTCAACTAAATCAACTTTTAAAGGTAAAAATTATTATTTTCATCAACTTTCAATATAAAAGCTTTCCAGAAATACGTCCGGACTGTGCATGCAAATTGAAGAGGGATAAAATGAGGTTTTGAAGGCCTCGGAATATAGGATTTGGTTTTAAATCATAAGATGACCTATCGGGTCATCACATTCTCCACCTCTAAAACAACCGTTCGTCCTTGAACGGACATAGAAAAGTAACTGAGCTGGGAAAAAGGTGGGGATATCTACTCTGCATATTGGACACCGACTCTCAGGTAGCTGCCTCAATAGGCTGACTTCTCCAGTGCACTCGAACTGAAGGATAACTCTTCGATCTCAGCTGACAAACCTGCCGGTCTAGAATGACTACCGACTCTTTCTCATAGGTCAAATCCTTGTCTAGCTGGACAATGCTAAAGTCTAACACGTGAGATGGATCGCCATGTTACTTCTGAAGCAC